AGGAATGGACAAGGGACAGTGGCATTTGGGGCTACAGTATTCCACATTCTCCCCTTCTGCAGTAAAGCCTGTACAGCCAGCAGGTAGTAGGATGCTCATCTGAAGAGAAAAAGACCCAGATAGAAATTCCAGTAGAAATTACCTACTAATTTAGCTAATTTTAGCTCACTCACTTGGTCCCATTTCATAAAGCACAAGCCAAGGCTTAGACAAGGAGCTGTACACACAGCTTCTACTGGGAAGCTCCAGAATTTGGTAGCAAGCAGGCAAACACAGTGTTTTCAAGGGAGCATTTCATTCTAAAGGTGGAAGTTGAAAAATACATTTATTTTCCAGTTACCTGCAGACTAATTATATCTGCATCACAGTTGACAATTTCTTCCATGATTCCCTTTTTTCTGTACTCCCAGTTGAGTGCCCAGGACGGGCAGTAGCCATAGAGCTGCCGGGTGGCATATTTATCACATAACACATTGTAACACATAACTGTGAATGAAGCTGGAAGGAAAGAGAGAAAGGGAAAGGTTATCAACCTCTGGAGATGACAAACTGACCTTATTCAAGCCAAAATACCACATCTCCCACAGTTTATGCTGAAAGTCCTACTGAACACAAGTCAGTGGGCTTATTCCATGAGCAGGAGTGAGAAAGCCCCTGCTCAGCAAGCAGTTACCATGTAAGACTAAACTCCTTCTGGAAGAAAATCAGCATTACTACCAAAACGAGACTTGAGGCAGCAACTTCAGGCTTAAGTGACATGTATATTGTAAAACAAAAGCAAAACCAAGCTGCTAAAGGAGTTGCTGCCTCATCAGGGCACCACAGCATCAGAGAGAAACACTTCAGAACGCTGCCCTTTCAAGCAGTCTGATTGCAAAACATCTGTAGAGCTTCCCTAGCATCTGCAGAACATTTCTAAGCTGTATTAAGTCATAACCGTGTCTAAGGGGGAGTGGGACATCTGGGTGAGGGCAGGGAAGAGCAACGAAGGCATAAATGAGCAACACCCAATGCATCGTTTACATTTTGTAAAGAAAGAGAGAAGTCAGCAGGCAGCTCATCTGACCGCGCGCCGTGAAACGCGCCTCCTTCACACACCAGCTCCTCAGCTCTGTTAGATCACTGAACCACAGACTGGTTTGGGTTGGAAGGGACCTTCAAGATCACCTAGATCCAACCCCCCCTGCATGGGAAGGGGCACCTCCCACCAGAGGTGGTTGCTCAGAGTCCCATCCAACCTGCCCTTGAAGTCCTCCAGGGATGGGGCCTCCACAACCTCCCTGGGCAACCTGTTCCAGCATCTCACCACCCTCACAGGAAAGAACTTTTTCCTCATGTCCAACCTGAATTTCCCCTCTTTAAGCTTCATGTTTTCCAGCAATTTTATAAGATTGGTAAATGCAACATCCCAGCACTGGGAAAACCCTGCCCATATTTGCAGGGAAAGATGTGAGGTTTTACTCTGAGGTTACCCCACAGCTGTGGGTTTTTCTACTATTCCCCATCAAATAAAATTTCAGTTGTCTTAATTTTAGAATAACAACTAATTGGCTTGTTCTAGTTTTTCCCATAAATTACTCCACAGCTCACCTGCCTAACTCTGTGCTTCTGAATTATTCTTCTTCTCAGGAATGTTGATTTTAAAAAAATAAACCCAAGGTCTGTAAAACTCCATGAAGATACTGATTCGCAAGGGAATTTGAAACAGAAATGCAGAATTTAATGCTGTGGCTTGCAGGACTTTTGGGCATTTCCTGTTTCTTCCTTTTTTTTTTTTGTTTGTTTCAGAATCACAGAATCAGTTAGGTTGGAAAAGACCTTCAAGATCATCAAGTCCAACCACTAACCCTACTCTCCCAAGTCCAGCACTAAGCCATGTCCCCAAGTGCTACATCTAGATGACTTCTAAACACAGCCAGGGAGGGTGACTCAACCACCTCCCTTGGGCAGCCTGTTCCAAGTTCTGACAACCCTTTATATCTTGATGTCTTTAGTATCTTTTTATCTTTAATATAAAAACAGGTACAGATGATCTTAACTGCAACGTTAGCCTGCCTAACACACAGCAGAGGTAAGTTTGAAGACCTGCCAACTTGACACTTCTAAAAAGTGTAGAGGAATCATAGAATCATAGAAGAGGACGGACACGTTGTTCTCGCTGGCTTTTAATCTGGTCTTCTGCAATAACAATAGTAGCATTTTTATTCTTTTAGACCAGCTCTGGGCTGGTTTTTGAATGCTGTACCCGGGATGTGCAGGGGAAGAGCCTCTTGCACTTCACCAAAAGCAACTATAGAGGGCATTGAACTGACTTCAATACCAGGTCCTCCACGGGTTTACTTCTCCAACTCTCACTTTGCTCAGCCTGTACATGGAGGTGGCATTTGCATATAGTTACTTTTGCAGTTCTTATTATTGCTGATAAACTATTCTTATTTTTTTTAAAAGATCTTTTTCTTGGGTATCAGTGGATGGAACAGTTACAAAAAAGCCTGACATGGAAACAAAATGACTGGCATTCCATTCAAATGACAAAAAATGGTATTTCCAGCACAGCCAGATGTTAACTGGTTTAGTACAAATGCACACAAATTGCTGTTTTCAGTCAGATCCAAGCCAGGTAAAAGAGTTCTCTGAAAATAAAGCTGAAAAAAAGGTTTTCAGGCTGTCACTTGTGAACACAGGGAAAAGAACCACAGGCTTACCTGAGGGCAGAATTTGGTCTCGTTCTTTTAAAGTAATCCATGGCCTTGGAGGCAGCTGCTCTGGATGAACTAAAAAAACCCAACAAACCAAAACAGTGATTAATTCAGGGTTTATATTTGTAAGTTGCAATTTCAAAGTCAAAATGATAACTGAACAACAATGTTCCATATTGTGCTTTGCAATACCAATTCCCCAAGTTTTTTGACACTCCAGGGGAGGCAAAAATAATTTAATAATTATTTAATTCATCATTATTCTTGTTTTTTGCTTTCAAATCTAGAAGCACCACTGAAATACCCCTGCTCCTTGAATATACTGCTGAAGATGAGAAGTAAATCCCACTGTGGGTCAGACACCCATCATTCCTGCAGTGTTTTAACTTAGCAGAGGTCAAGTGGAAAATGAGAAATTCACAGAACCAGGAATTAGGATTTAATTCAGGTACTGGATGTTCTTAATCACTTGGTATTTCTAGATCAAAATTCGTCATTCTGCTTGCATTTGGGTTATCATTTCTAGAGGAAAGGATCAAAGTGGCTTCAGGAAGGAAAACTCTGCACTTTGTTGGTAATTGAAGGGTTTCAAACAGAACAGTGGGAACAAGTGGCTGTAGCACAGCAACATGGGGACAGGCTTGACAAGACTTGTCAACCTCTTCCACTGCAAGTGGGTGCTTGTGTGTACGACTGGAACCACTTGACAACAAACACCCCAAAGCAGAAAATCCTCTCCCTTCAGCAGTTCAGACTCTTGTAGCAGCAAATACTGCCACCAATGCATGCTTTTAAACCCCTGCTGTCAATCAGATGTGTTGGGCTGTCACCTGCTAGATTGTCAAGCATGTAGTTCAGTAGCTTCCGAGTTCCATCCGGATCCTGGTAGAGGCTGAGAATATCTTGTGATAAAGGATTGCCTGCCAACAGCATGAAACAACACCCAGGTGATTAGCTGCCTGACTTTCTCCAGGCTTTCCAGCCAAAGAAAATCTCCCATAATGATGACAAATTGACTCAGGAGACATTTAGGTGGCTGATCTTGAAACTGCATGATACTGCAGGGGTGCTGCAGAAGCAACCAGCACGCAGAGACTTCCTTCCCTCAAGTCCCCTCAGTCAATAATACAGCAGGTTAAAGGGTTTATTTACCTACCTACAGGTTTGAAATAGGCTCACAAGGAAGCTGAATAGCATTAAAAAAGGAAAGCAGTGTTTTCCCAACTGGCTGGTCATTTTTGCAACAAGCTTAATACCTCAAATGAACTGTAAGAAAACATTGAGGTAGCACCCCCCCTCCCTCCCCAGTAATTCAAGAGCACTTACAGAGTCACAGAACTGCCAGGGTTGGAAGGGACCTCTAGGGATCATCTAGTCCCACTCCCTGCTAAAGCAGGATGGCCCAGAGCACATCCCACGGGGCTGCAGCCAGAGGGGGGTTGGAATGGCTCCACAGAAGGGGACTCCATACCCTCCCTGGGCAGCTTATCCCAGCGCTCTGTCACCCCCACTGTAATATTCCCCCATATTCCAGTGGCACTTTCCATGTTCCAGCTTGTGCCCGTTGCCCCTCATCCTGGGCACTACTGAGTTGAGTCTGGTTCCATCCTCCCTGCACCCACCCTGAGATACTTCCAGGCATTAATAAGGTCTCCCCTCAGCCTTCTCCAGGCTGAACAGTCCCAGCTCTCTAAGCCTTTCCTCATCAGGGAGATGCTCCAACCCCCCAGTCATTTGTTGCCCTCCCCTGGACTCTCTCCAGCACTCCTAGGAATATTTAACTGTACTCACCTTTCAAACCTAGAGTTTGTAGCTGGAAGAGCCGTCCAAGTTCATAAGGCAAAACCCGTAACAGATTGTTATTTAAAAGCAATTCCCTGCAGCAAATGCAAAAAACCAACAAAACAAACAAGAAGCAACAAAACACTTTTGATGAGTATCACTTCAGAAGAAAACACTTAAAGGGCCATATAGCATTTATCTTCAAAGATTACACTTTTCACCTTGAATTTTTTTTGTATTATGGAAAGAGATGCAAATCTTCCCATTTCAGAGCACGAGCAAAACACTTTCATAAGGCAAGAAAAAGCCACAAAAACCCCAGAACTCAAAATTAAACCGGGGGGGTTTAAACACCAAGTCTCAAAGAATGTTTCAGAGCAGAATAGTACTACACAGCTCACAGACATGTTTCTGTAAGAGATCAAAAAAGAAGGGTAATGAACCCAAACGTAATAATTAGACTGAAGCTTTGCACTGCTTTTGAAGTTTTCAGAATGATTTGAAGTACAAGGATGGAAAGCCAACTAAATTTTTAGTCCCAACCCCTGATTTTTGAAAAGTTCACCAGAACCATTTCTCTCACCTGAGAGATACCATGTTTCCTAGTTCTGCTGGTAAACTTCTGAGTTTGTTGGATGACAGATCCAAGTAAACCAGATTATGAAGCTTGGCAATATCAGGTGGAATGCGAGTGAGATTATTGTCATTGAGGTGCAGAGCAGTCAGGTGTGTCAGCGACCAAAGCGAGGAACTCAAGCTCCGCACTCGACCTAAAAAAGAAAAGCAAAGAACCACCTCCTCAGTCAGGTCTGCTCTCTCAAACCATCAGGTACAAACTGGAACACCTTTGTCAGGACATGGACAGTAGAGCTGGAGTGCACCCTCAGCAGGTTTGCTGATCACACCAAGCTGTGTGGTGTGGCTGACACGCTGCAGGGGAGGCCATCCAGAGGGATCTCAACAGGCTTGAGAGGTGGGTCCATGCCAACCTCAGGGTCAGGGCAATGTCAGGCACAAATACAGGCTGGGAGGAGAATGGACTGAAAGCAGCCCTGAGGAGAAGGACTTGGGGGTGCTGGTCAGTGAGAAGCTCAACATGAGCTGGCACCGTGTGCTGGAGGCCAGGAAAGCTGGGGAGGGACTTTTGACAAGGGCTTGTAATGAGAGGACAAAGGGATTACAATTCAAAGAGAGAGATTTAGGTGAGACATTAGAAGGAAATTTGTTAGTGTGAGGGTGGTGAGACACTGGCCCAGTTGCCCAGAGAAGCTGTGGCTGCCCCATCCCTGGCAGTGTTGAAGGGCAGGTTGGATGGGGCTTGGAGCAACCTGGGCTGGTGGGAGGTGTCCCTGCCCATGCAGGGGGGTTGGAACTGGATGATCTTGAAGGTCCTTTTGATCTTAACTGTTGTATGATTCTATGAAACTATGAGGGATGTCAGAACATGGGATTTCCAGTGTGAAACTCTACCACTTCACTGCAACACTTACAACAGCTTGCAGAAGATACCTTTGCGTATCTTTTCTAGGAGTAGACTTTAACCCTCTCAGTTAAAAGAGACAGGTACAGTTCTAGGGAAGCAGATGTGCTGCCCAAAAACTTGCCTCTGATCTGAGTGGGTGTCTTCAAGCCACTGGGCTGCTGAGAGCCAGCCAAGCTCCAAGGCAACCTAGAGAGGCAGCTACCTGCCCTACCCAACTCAAAAAAACTGCTTCCACCACAGGATCCTTGAACTGCAAGTGACTCTGGGGCACCAACTCCTCCACTGAACCAAAAGTGCAGAGCGACTCACCCGAGATCTCTAATTCGGCCCAATGCGACTTCTTCCCGTTGGCTACCTCTTCTGCTGACATGATGGTATAAATTCTGCGAGGATCTGGGGGATCATATTTTTCCTTTGGCATCCCTGTGAGTCTGAAAGATCATCACAACTGTTACTGTTGCTCAACAACACTTCTTCATTTCTAGCCTGCCAGGAGATCACCCCCGCAGTGACACTGCAGAGACAGGCCCTGCTGTCCATGTACAATAAATATTACACTGACTTCAGCCTGACTACTGGATTTTCAACATACCAAGGCCTACTTCTGCACTCCTCTTAGACAAGACCTGAAATTGCAGTCTGCAGGGGAATTATCTTCATCTTGCCATTATCCATCTAGCTTTTGTTTTGTGCTTTTCCATGCTCAAGATCAGTCAAGACCTTTTTACTCTTAATGGTATAGGAAACATGAAATGAGCTCAGGTGAAATTCCCATGAGGTGTTCTTGTGCACACAAGCCCATACAGCCCAGCCCAACACTTTTATATCAGATGCAGACGCAAAGTCAACCCATCTTATTCTCCAGATTCTTGTCAGAAGAGAGCTCTGATGTCCTGTTCAAAAAACATACACTCTCCAGATGACACAGGGAGAAGTCTCCCTCTGTATCTCCCCAAGACCATCGTGCTGAGAAAGACTTGGGGGGTTGCAGGGGAGTAAAAGGGGTTGTTTCAAAATGTAAGATTAGCTGAACTTGCTGTTCTCTGCTCTTTTCTTCCCCAGACACACACAATCCACAAACCTTGCTTTTCTACAAATCCAAAGCATCTGTCTACAGGATGCAATTTCCCCCTTAACCGTGTATATTTCTACTACAACTGGCTGCAAGAGCTGGGAAGCTCTTCAAACAACTAGAACTGGTTTGGTTGGCTGAACTGACAAGACAGAAAACTATGAAGAACTTGAGGAAACTAGCTCAGGTTGTTGATTTGTTTGGGTTTTTTTTCCCACTCATCCAACTAACCAAAGATCACACATCCCCTTTATGAGCTAAACGTCCTGCAGTTTTTTTCAACTGCTGCAGGTAGCCAAACCAGCATTCCAGCACTGCACAGGAGCAAGAGTTGTCAGGGTTGTCCCCTGGGAAAGGTCTCAGCTTCAGGTCTGGTGTTTCCTTCCCCAACAAGTGCCCAAGGTAATTCCATTCACAGGGAATTAAGGCTCTCTGTGGCCAGCACACGGCAGATGTGAGCCCTGTGTCTAATTATAGCCAACTTCTATTTCCAGGTGAAGTCATACGGTGAGGAAAGCTGCGGGGTAAGAGGATTCTGTGCTCACACTGCTCAGCTGCAGAGTGGGGTGATGAATGGAATAGATCACTTAAGGACACGGGATTAGACCCAAAATCCTTCCATTGTCCTTTCAGAACCCCAAAACTGGGAATTGTGCTTCCCAACACAATCAGAGTTACAGGCTGTGCTTCAGGAGTGCTAAATGTCTGGTACTCAGGTTTTGCTCGATTTATTCGCTGTTAAACATGGGCAGAAGCAGGGAGCAGCCACGGCTTAGAGCCACAGGAGCCTTATTCCACCTTTTCTCCCAAGCATAAGGGCATACAAAACTAATCCACACTCCAGCAAGTCTCCATACAGCTCTTCCTGGATTTTCCCAGACCTCTGGAGCCAACCAGAGACATCCAGCAGAGCCATGAATTGAGACAGGAGAGCTTGCAGTCCCTGGTAGCTCCGCAGAGCATGGTCCCAGCCCCAGTGCCTGCAAAGAAGCACATTGCCACGCTACTACTCCTTGTGTTCAAGCCTAATGACTCCAACCAAGTAGCACCCAGACGATCACCTGGTGTGCTACTCAGTACCAATTTTACATGAAATACACCCAAATCAAGACCACAGTCCGAGTGTTTCCAGCACGACGAGTCTGTTGGTGCCAAAAAGCAGCATGCTCATTTTGCAGCAAGCAAAACTGTCACCTCCCTGCCACAGCGTTACCTGCCAGGATCCTGTCCTAGGAAATGGGATTTCATGACCTGACAATTATTTATTTCATCCAAAAGGCATACTACAGATGAGAAGGGGGGAAACCTGAAGGCTGGGTGGTGAAAATCAAGAATACCAATAAGGGATTAAAGGCTATGGGCAGAAGGGAGTTTTTTTTATTTTAATCCTCAAATTTTTTAACTGATCCAAGCTGGGTCTTCATTTTGCCTTTTAATCTGTCATACCTTAAAACTTGGACTACTTGGACCATATATGGACCTAGGACATGGCAAATTTTGTTGCCCAATAGCCAGCATCAGTATCTGGGTGAGGCCTCTCTGAAACACACTGTGCTTACCAGGTCTTCACATTCCTGTTTTCCACAGCATAATATTATGGCAGTACCAGACCCAGGCGGCTTTAAATTTCAGTTCCTGTATCCTGGAACTCCTCCCTGCCCTGCCTCCTGCTGGTAAAAGCTTTGGCTGCACTTATTTCCTTACGGGCTTCTGAAGGTGCATCTCCAGCTGAAAAAGCAAGTTGGAAATTGTTTGTGTTTCTGCTTGGCTATGTCATGGCCAGCCAGACACATATAGCAAACAGCTCAGGGTGGCTCAGAGCAGCCAAGGGGCTTTGCTGTCACACACACCTTACTTCAAAGGCTTGAAGCACTTGTCTCCTCCTCCAGCTTGCAGGGAACCAGCTTGTCCTTCCCACTGCCAGACCCCAGCTCCTCACAGCAGGGCACAAATTGGACAAATAGCCCAGGGGCTGTCGGTGAAGACTTTAAAACCAGCGTGGTTGGACCATCTGAGTCAGCCCAGACTCAGCCATACCTGCCTGTGGGCTGAGAGGTGACCACTGACCAGGTGACACCCTCAAAAAGCTTCAAGATGACATTTTCTTCCTTGGCAGGGAACCTAATTAAATGATGTTGAAATATTGCTTGTTACTAGAAGTGCTCTGCCAATTTAAAGCCATTTGTGGCAGTCAGAGGCCCTCCAATGTCATGAGCCCTGAGCTGTGAGGCAAATGACACACGCATTTTTCAGATATTAGTCATGTCCATTTTATTTTGAAGTATCAGTGAGTCAAACCAGCACCAGTGTAATTTCCACAGTCATAGAAAAGGGAAAACAAACCTTAAAAAAATTATTTATTTATTTTTTTCTTCTGCGTAACAGCAACATTGAGCAAGACTTGAAAGCCACCACATGTATTTTTTTTGATGCAAAAATGAATCCTGCCTGGGCCTCCAACTCCTATCATTCCCATTCCCCCCCCGCCCCCGCTTGTCCTGGAACTAAATCAATATCCAAAAAATCCCAACCTATTTTTGCTTGGTCTTCAGGGAGCTACACCAAGTTCCCTGAGTCAGTTAACCCCCTCCCTAAATCAGACACGTACGAGTAAGGAACAAGGCAGGAAGATCCAGCCAGGGATGTGGGAACTGAAGCAGCGCTGATTGAGCTCAGCCCGAGCTGCGGCAGAGCTGCATCCTGTGGGTTCAAGAAGGGCCTTTGCTAAAATTCAGCTAACACAGGTGTGACACAAACAGAACGTATGGATTTCATTGTTTTTTGCTTTTCAATCTTGCCAGCTTTTCTTCTAAAGAGTTCCCTTGGAAAACCTTTGAAGCTGCTAAAGCTGTTTCTCCACTACAAATCAAACCTTGTAAACTTACTTATAGCACTGAAATTGCATAAAGAAAACTTGATTATGAGAACATTTGTGCATTGGTAAGAGTAATATTTAAGGTCTGAATGTTGGTATCTGGGGGTTCCTAATAATGTCATCCTTATGCAGAAACATTTTGGCCACTAGTCCACCCTCAAAGGCCTAGAGATAACCAGCACAGCTGTGTTACTCAACTGCAACCCTAGATTTGGTTCCAGGTGAACCTAAGCAGCTCTAGCTCAGCTGTGTATAAAAAGGACAAGGGGGAGACAATTTGGTTTGGAAGTGTTGCAAGCAGAAAGCTTGGGGTTGTGCTCTTTGAAGTTTTGTTTTTACCTAGTGTTGTACTTGCTGGCCTTTGTGTAAGGGGAACCTGGCTATCAATTAAAAGCCAAAAAAAAAAAAAAAAAAGAAGGAATAATGTAACAGCACTGAAGGTGTGAAGACTGAAATAAGGCAGTTTTGAGCTACCAGGCTGCACTACAGGTTTTGACTCTGAAGACACCTCTTTTTGGGCAACCAACAACAGGAGCTTCTATATACTCAGCATTTCAGACAACCAGGTAAAAAGAGAAAAGAGAACTGCTCTTCTGGATTTAATTAGCTATGACCTTCTAAAGTAATACAGGTGTGGAGAGCATGAGATAGGGAGGATATAGCTAGTGGTGTGAAATATATATCGTGTTTTTCTTAAGAAGCTGAAAGCAGCCCTAGAAATTGTATCAATAAGAGAAAAAAAAGGACAGACTGCTAGGGAATAAGAAATTTTTTAACTCAAAGTGTAATATTTTTTTTGTATGGGTGGGGGAAATCAACAGCAGCTGTGAACATAGAAACTCTCTTCCATTTCACAGCACATCCAAACACACCGAAGTAACTATCTTGGGGTTGCTCTGAGAGATGAACTGCTTCACTGTTGTTTTTCATCAAGTCAGATCTCCTCTTCCAAAGCCAAATATTCCCAACAAGTAGAAGGATTAACCTATGTTCATTGGGAAGAGAAAGCCTGCTCAAAGCTGTCCAGATTATTTGGCATCTATGTTGCAGAAGGACTTGGAAGCCAGATAGGTGGAAGTCCCTTAGAGCTATGTGCTGCTGCAAAATAATGACAAGTTCCTTCCCCAGAGAGGTCAGAGGATACATTTATTAAATTACAGTCACTATAATGTGTTGTTCCATTTAAATTCTGTCATACCTCAATGCATAAATGAATTGTCTGCTTCTAATGAGGAAGCAAAGCCAAGAGAGCTGCAACTTCCCCTTGCTCCTGTGTTCAGTGATGTGTTGGCACAACTGGAAATCCTTGCCTCCAGCAGAGTGACATTCTTGGTGATTTTCTTTTTTTCAATCTCTGTAGATAGATGAGTCAAACTGCCAAAGCATTTGGAAAACCAGCCAGCAGCTGGCCCTGAATCATTCCTCCTTCCTCTGCAGGGTAACATCTTACTGTCCATCCATTTCCATTGGGTGG